TGCGAGGGTAGTTTGAGAAAATATGAGCGTAATCATAACTATTACCGATTGGGGAGAACGCCTTGTTTAATTTTTATGAAATGAGCATGATTGTTCGAAATGGATGGATGTATAGTGTGAGTAGGACAAAGGATGGGTAAAAAAGATGACATATTGACGCATTTATGCAGTATAACTTCATATCAAAGAGGTTTTAGGGGGAACTTAAACAACGATGGATTGCTGCTCCTGTATTATTGTTTGAATAATGGTTTGAAGTAGAGTTTGATACGTACAAGTGATGTGATTTTTATATTAAATGTCTGTGCATATGTACTATTACTTGAAACGATGAAATAATGCTCCGATTGTGATGTGAACTTCAAAATAATGTGTCCGTCTAGGCGTCTTGAGATACCAGCGTCTTCGACTGTCTGCCGACAAAGTTGCCAAAACTTCACAATGTGACACATTAACATTTTGTGAAGTAGTTTTTAAACAGATAATTACAAAGAATAAGTTCTTTATATACATGACACTGGCAAAAGTTCAACAGTACGCATCCATTACCAAAAGAAAAATAATTCATATCACTGGATATGTTGCAGCTTACAATACAATAGCAGTTTCCTATCGCAACTCGATTTATACACTTACAACTTAAATAAAAATTAAAAAAATACAAGTGTAAATAGTATAGAAATAATATTATTTAAATATCCATGTGATTTAGTCTCTTAATTGAAATAATAGGCGATGAGACTTTCGTAATGTGTTTTGTTCGTAGTTCAGTCCTTAAAAATAGCATGCTAACAAGTTGATAATATCATAATAAATTTTTGCAACCAGTCCAAATAAACAAAGTCAACATCAACACCGGTTCACAAAAGTAAATTTTTAGGTTTATCTAAGACGTTTTCTTACAGAACCAGGCCAATGCTACATTTGTCTAACATAAAATAATTCTTTTGAGATTCACAGTGTAATTTGAAATTCTTTTCCGCTACTAAGAAATTTAATATAATCCCTTTCCTCTCAATTACTCCTCACTTATTCCTCTGAATTTACTGGAGCACATATGACAATTGTCGTACATATAATAATAATAATATAAACTAACAATACTGTCGGGCATTGCGGATGTTTCGATATATGAAAATATGATCATATTATTTAATTTTAGCTTAAGATGTCCTAAAACACCTTTTTAAAGTGAAATAAAGTAGGCTTCTAGAAAAGAACATGATAAAATGGTTATCATTACATTTGTGCTGTCTTAGGAACACTTTTTATTTATAATAAAATAATCAATTTTTCGGCAGCGATACCATCAAAAGACCGACCGTGGCTACAAACTTTAGTATCTATAATTCCAACATATAAATAATTTTTAAGTTGTCAGATTATATAGCCAAAACCAAAGACTTCATGTATACAAGAGACTGGCAATTTAGAATAAAAATTATGTCACAGCTGTGGATAACGCAAGCGCGGGTACGAGTGACAGCTACTGCTTTAGACAAATATGAAATAAAGTTATTACCTTAAACAAACTTCAAATCACTTTAGCAAAGTGCGCACATAAATAATGACAGCGTTTTCTTGGTCACATTAAACAAAATCAGTGTTAAACTGTCGGACATAACGTTCGCGCTTTACAAAACAAAGGAATCACGGAAATTGACCGTAGCCTAGTTCGCTATGTATTAGTACCGTAGCATTCGTTTAGTATTGTATATATAGAAGTCATTCGCTAAAATCGTCGTTCATAAACATAGAGTATAAGTAGTAATAAAATTAAAAAAAAAACAATATTTGAATATCAAAACATAACTGTCACACCATCCATATGTCATTTATGACAACAATGACAGCTCTCAATTGAGTTGAGCAAAGACAATAATAATTATATACCGAAATATGTTACTCCAGCGGTAATAAGCTTACGGTTGGTTCACACTGAAGCGAGTCTGTGTGGTATACAGGTTTATAACGGAGCAAATAGTCGTGTTAATGGGGAATACGTGAGAAAGTGAAAACAGAGGGAGCTTGTGTGCTATCGTTTATAATGATTTCGTTTTTATTTATTGTTTAATCTAGTGACTAAGCAAAATTACTATTTCTTCTATAAAAGCAAGATTTTAATCCATTTACCCCCCATTAAGTACTTAAAATACTTCATTATTCTCAGTGTATTCGTTATATTTCTTTTACGATTTCAAAGATTTTCTTAATATTTGACGATGATTTTTTTACAACAGTTCAATTCCTTCGTACAAATTGAACTGAATAAAATAAGGTGACTTAGACGCGAGAATTACATCACTAGTACTTAATTATTTCGTGTCTTAAGTTTCCTTTTCCAACAATATTCAAACAAAGATCTAAAATCTATAAAAATACGCGGCAAATCGCATCAATATGAGCGCCTAAGCGTGCGAACGAACCGGGCGAAAACGCGGGAATCCGCAGAGGATTCGCTTCAGTATGAAAGAACCTTAAACCTTAATAAACTGCTAATCGGTCTTATAATAATTATGCTTGTGCATCATCCTCGATATTAGTTCCTAACGTTAAATAAATATATTAATAACACGCGCCTACATGTGCCATATAGGAGACACCATTCATAGCACTGGATTTTAGTTTTTTTTTTATTATCTATGGTTTCTTTCTGCCGTTCCTTCACACACGTGCTCCACTCATCCCTCCTCCATCCTGCAAATAAATTCGTGTTATTTACATTACGAATATGAATAACATGAATTTATTTGGAGATTTAATGGATGATTACCGTAATTCAAGTGCATAGACATTTTTGTTTCATTGCTTTTTTGGTAATTTTTATAATACCTACGGAAGTTGATTGTTTGGTTAATGTACCTATGACCACTTTATTGACTACAAGAAAAATATACTATGATAAGATAAATAAATATTTTCATTTTACCAATTATCCGACTGCAACAAAACCCCTTACAAAAGCATTCGGTATACGGCCGAATAGCACCTAGATATTCGGTATTTGACTGAATAGAATAAATGTAAACCATCACATTCCATTACAGCCTGTAAAAGTCTACTGCAGAACACAGGCCTTCTCCATTGATGCCAAATAGGGGGATATTTGCCATAGTTGGCACGCTTGGCGAGCGGGTTGGCAACAACAGTTTATTATTATTTTTACTAGTTATCGGAAGATGCTGCTGCCTATCTTCTGCCTGATTCCTTCTGTCGCCTCTGACGACACTCACAGGACGATATGTAGTGGATATTCATACACCGCCACTGCATGGCTTACAATAAATGTAGCCGATTCGGTCTAATATTGAATAATAGCCGAATATCCGTTGCAAGTATAATTTCCTCTATTTACAGTTATATTAAAAATCTTGAGATCGTTTTAGATCGGACGGAGGGCATACTTGTAGTTCCGTTATGGCCAACTCAACCATGGTATCCTCTCACTAATTGATTTTTAGTTCTGATATTTTAATACCTTTACTGAAACCTATACCTCGTAATTAATTTTCAATTTTTTCGTGCAGACTAAAACATCGTTAATAAATCACTTATAAACAAGACTGATCTTTTATTAAAGGAGAAACTAATATTGAGTTTATAATTGAACATTTTTACTTAATTTTGAATGATCATATACAAAACCATGTACCGAAAGTCAAATATTCTGGTACACATTTATATTCCATTTAGTAGCCGAATGATACCTGCGAACCCAATAGAAGACGAGCAGGGGGGGTACACTTCCATACTTTAGGTTGGGGTTCAATAATTTGCAAAGACACTAGTGCCATCTTGTACGATATCCGCATAAACTTTCGAACATTAAATTCTAAAAAGTGCGCTAGATGGCGACTACACCAATTCTGGTTATTCTCGAACTGGCAAGTAGCAACCGGCGTCTGAGCAAGTTGTTGTTTTATTATAGTTTATAAGAGATTTTCGGTTGTTGCTACAATAAGTTTGGTTGAGTTGGGATAAGCCCTCTGTTTCTTGTTGTCTGTTTAGATTTTCATGCTGGAACCATATAGTATGTTTTTGTAGTGTTGTGCGAAATAGACGCTTTCATTTACCATTCCGGTAACCCGATGGACATATTTCATTTGGTTTGGTGTTGTATTTTGCGGAATAGACGCTTTTACATCGTGTATGTTAAATATATATAACAAAAATAAATGTTATTATTACTGAAATCTATAATACGTCTTTAATTGAACCCTAATCCCTTAAAATATAAATATAACCGCCTATAGTATAGATAGCTGTATATACATAACTCCATACAGCTCTATAGTCAACATGATATTGAGATTAGTTCAATGGATATGATACCAGACGGCGACACTATTCATAGTGGGTGACAAAAAATCCTAGGATATGGCTCTCTATTTCTTTTCTCTTTATATATTACTCTACTCTATGACGACGAGCATCGACTGACGAACCTATCACGTAGAGCGTCAGCGTGGTCAACGTCATATCGATCAATAAAAAGTGTGCTCACGACTCGTACCGGTAACTATACTATGCGATCATGGCGGAAAGAACCATAGATAATAAAAAGAAAACCATAGACAATAAAAAAAGAAAACCATAGATAATAAATAAGAAAACCATAGATAATAAACTCTAAAATCCAGTGCTATCAGTGGTGGCTCCTATGTAGGGCTGCATGTACGTTATTAATGTATTTATTTCAGGTTACTAATCTCTTCGGATGATGCGCTTCGTATAATTAAGATAGAACTTCGCTTACAGGTAATTTCGTTTGATCGTTTACTGTTCACTAGAAAAACGAGTATTAATGGGTTTTATTTACCTCTTCAAAGAACATGAAGATCTACAAATGTCGCTTACCATTCGAATTTCAATATCTTAGACGTCAAATATCTACCGCCATTTAAATACAAAGAGAGCTGGTGAGTCGCTGGGAGGTCCAGCCTTCGAAGTGTCACCGCTGTATCTATAGGTATCGAGTCAGTCTCTCCAAGATCTTAATGTTAGCTGGTGCATTTAGTTTTTCCATCAAGTAGCTTCCTCCACAGATCGAACTGCTCGTGATACCGTACCATATGTATGGCGATACCGCGCTGCACCGCGCACGGGTGTAGGGCAACCTTACGATTGTAAAACTCGGGCGAATGCAGACGAGCGATTTTTAAACGCGTGGCTAAAACGCCCGTGACGAAAACGTCCTCGAGACGCAGGTAGCGCTCGCCCCCCGCAGCCGCCAGTAGCACGCGTATCGAATCGCCTGACACCAGGTAAGCAGGCCCCGTGGCGAAGTCTGGGAACACCTGAAATTCGGCAAAGAGACAATATTAAAAATTAAGGTTCATCATCATCATTACAGCCCTTCACAAGTCCACTGCTGAACATAGGTCTCCCTCAAGGAATGCCACAAAGCACGGTCCTAAGCTGCCTGCAGCCATCGACTTCATGCATGTCTTACCAGGTAGTCACTACGCTACGCCTGCCGGAACGAGGCTGCCACTCGAGAACCTTTTTTCCCCAATCGGTTGTCGATTCTTCGAGCTATATGGCTGGCCCATTTTTTTATAACATTGAATGACAAATAAGTACAGGCCATCTGATGGTAAGCGATTGCTGTGGCCCTTAGACACCCACATTTATCCTCAATTAAGGATCAAAATGCAAATTCGTTATCACCCCTGAGGACTAAGATGGAATGCCCTAATTCTAGTAAAATGGGTTCCGGTTCTTTACACTCACGATACGAAGAACAACATTACTCTGCTATTTTACGCTGGTATTCTATGAGAGCGTGGTCCTGCCCGTCCCGGTCGAGCCGACCCATTCGAGCCAAACATATAATATAGCTGCAGCGTGGCTCAGCCACTTTAGCTTACTAATCCGTTGGTCTATGTCGGTTACTTTGGTTCAGCTGCGGCTATCCTCATTTCTAAGTTAATCACGCAGAGAAACCCCGAGCATAGCCCTCTCCATAGCTCGCTCAGCAACCTTAAACGTCCTCATTCGGTCAGCAGTAAAGGAACACGTCTCAGATCCATAAGTCATCCATAACTAGCAACACACACCGGTTGTACAATCCTGTTTCCAGGTTTAGAGTTATACCTGATGAGAAGATGTGTCGTAATTTCCCAAACGCTTGCCCAGCCGAGTTGAATCCGTCAATTGAGCTCTCGGTCGAAGTTGATCTTACCTAGTCGGACTATTTGTCCCAAGTAGCATGGTCCACAACTTCGAGCTTAGTGCTTTCAACAACTACCGGCATAGGTGTAACATGAGACATTACACATGACCTTCGTTTTGTCCAGGTTGACCTTAAGATCTATCCGTTGGAAGACAATACATAGGCTGCACTAAAAGTATCGGGAATGGAATATTTCCACTGTTTCTGTCATATTAAAATCTTTTTAATTGAAAACTCCTTGGTTTTAAAAATCGAATACCATTTATTTATTTAAAAAAAAGATTCTCGGTCCTGTCACAAGGTTTTGTCAAACTTGTTTAGTCGTTGAGAAAATGGAATTGACTCGAGAAAATTCAAGAGCGATGATTTATTATGACTTTCGAAGTGGTTTAACACAAAAACAGTGTGTTGACCGGATGATTTCTGCATTTGGTGATGAAGCCCCATCCAAAACCACAATTTATCGCTGGTTTGCTGAATTTCAACGTGGACGTGTCAAGCTCAGTGAAGATCCCCGTCAAGGTCGCCTAAAAACTGCAGTCACACAAGAAAATGTTGATGCTGTGCGTATGCTGATTGAGGAAGATCGACATGTGACATACCGCGAAATTCAAGCAACTTTAGACATTGGCATGAGTCAAATACAAATAATCTTGCATGAACAATTAGGTGTAAAAAAGTTGTTTTCCCGATGGATACCGCATTCGCTCTGTGAAGAGCAAAAAGCGGCTCGCGTCATTTGATACGTCAGAACTCTCGAAAGATTCCACGCAGGATCCTCAAATGCTGTATACAACATCGTATCAGGTGACGAATCCTGGATATATGCGTACGAACCCGAAATAAAAAACCAGTCACGAGTTTCGGTGTTCGAAAATGAGTTAAAGCCAACAAAAATTGTTCGTTCACGGAGTGTTGCAAAAAAAAATGGTGGCCACGTTTGTCTCCAAAACCGGCCATGTTACGACTATTCCTCTTGAGGGACAAAGAACGGTTAATGCAGAATGGTATACTAGCATTTGTTTGCCACAGGTCGTTTCTGAACTCCGTAAAGAGAACTGCAACCGCCGCATCATCCTCCATCACGACAATGCGAGTTCTCACACCGCACAAAAGAGTTTTTAGAGCAAGAAAACATAGAATTATTAGACCATCCGCCGTACAGCCCCGACCTAAGCCCTAATGATTTCTATACAGTACATGTCGTACAAATACCGGCTTGCGCGCGCCAGATCGCCGTATGATGCATTCCTTTAACGAGTTTTTCAATGATGGTAACATAGATTTGTTTACACCGAATGTTCTTGCTTTTAAAAGATCTATATTTGAAAAACTAAAAATGTAAAAATAATATTATTTTGGCTCTTTGTTTTTTAGTTTTTAGTTATTAAGTTTTTATTCAGCGTCCGCGACAATTTAATTAACTTTGTAAGTAATATGTGGATAGCGTTGTGGGCTACATTATTGTTAATACATCATGTTATTTTATTTTAGACATTACTGTATTTTGTAGCTGTTTGTTGTTCCTTAATAAATAAAATAAAAATATACTTTCCCTAAAATAAAGAATAAATTGCGTGGACAGAGATTTTCATCACCTGAAGAAGCTGTGGACGCCTACAAAACGGCCATTTTGGAGACCCCAACTTCCGAATGGAATGGTTGCTTCAATTATTGGTTCCATCGTATGGAAAAATGTGTCAAATTTCGCGGAGATGACTTCGAAAAGCAATAAATACATTTTTAAATAGTAATGTTGTGTCACTTCCTTGATTTCCGAAATTTTCAGTGCCGCCCTCGTATTAAGGTCATTGAGCATAGTGCTTAGGCGATTTTGCCATAAGGACTATATCGTCGGCAAATCGAAGGTGAGTGATGTACTCGCCTTCGCCTCGTACTCGGAATCAAAGTCCACATACGCAAGGCAAAGTGGCAGATTGTACTCCTCGGTCTTCTGTACAATCTGCCGCAGGGTTTGTATGTGATCTATGGTACTGAGCCTTTTCGGAAACCGGCTTGTTGTAGACTGGAAGTCGTCGAGTCTGCGTGCGAGACGATTCGTAATGACTCTCGAAAACAGCACGTAGACGTACGGACTACCGGTTTTCCATCCACTTTCAGAAGCTCCGCTGTAATTCTGGAGAGCCATTCTGATCTCGCTCAGACTGACGGCCGGAATATCATAGGGATAGTGTCGGATGACACTTGCTCTTGAATCGTTACTCACACTGGTCACATGCTCCAACGATGATGTGTAAAACTGCCCATAAAACATCTCAATCTCACTTAAAATCTCAGGTGTTCCGGAAACGATGCTGCTACACTCGGCCTTCAGCTTTGACAGTTGGCTCTTTCTGGCAGACAGATCTCTGGCAAAGACTTTGGAGCCTTGGTTTCGCTCGATCGCTTCTTCAATACGAGCAGTATTATAGTTGAGTAAGTCCAGCCGCATGCATTTGGAGATCTGTCTGCTCATTTACCTGTATGCTGTCAAAAAAAGTATGCTTGAATAGGTGGTAGAGCCAGGCTGCAGCTATATTATGGTTGTAGCACGAATGGGTCAGCTCGACCGGGGAACGACCACGCTCTCACAGAATACCAGCTTAATACTTATGTGTTACGTATGATGAGTGCAGGAGACCCTTTTTTACTGAAAACGAGGCATTCCATCTTAGTACTCAGGAGTGACAACGCATCTGCGTTTTAATTCTTAATCGAGAATAAATGTAGATGTCTATGAGCCACAGCATCTACTTACCATCAGGTGAACTGTGTGCTCGTTTGTCACCCATATTCTATAACAAAAACTGCAGCTTCATTTGCCGTCTAACAGCCATGAGATTAAGAGTGTAATTCGAGAGTTTTTGTGTTTTTCTAAAGCGGGTCTTGCAGAACTTAGCTCCGACTCACAGACTGTTTCCACGAGCTTATCATCCATATCGTCCACTGCATTGCAATCTTCTAGGCACTGAAAACTATCTTGTAACTCAAGCTGAAAGGCTTCGAGACTTTGGATTAGAGTACGAGGACGACGGAGCGTTGACTTCGATTTTTTTTCTCGCACATTACAATGGAACGAATGCAAATGGAGAGCTAAAATCATCGAATAAGGCAGCGAATGCCTTGTATGGAGTGGTCTCGAGTTCACGGGTTTGTCCAAAATCAGGTTTTGAGATTTTCTGTCAAGAACTTCTTGTTTAATGAAAATCATTATCTCGAAAAGCACGTAAAGTCGTTAGTCTTACGCCTGATCTCTATTCGGTCGTGTCGGATTCTAGTCTCATCGGACTGAGCATGAGGAAAAGGAGAGTGCCACCAGTGCTTGTGGACACACTCCTGCACAATAATTTTGTCCTGCGCCGAGACTAGTCTTTCGCACGTAAACCCTAAAACTTAGAAACCAAGAATGTGTACGCAGTTTTTGTTGTCAGTAAGAGATTTGAAAGTTATGAGTAGAAATGAGATATGAGAGTCGTTCACTGCTAGCCGTACAAGGAAACTCAAGATCACTCAGCGAGCTATACAGAGAGCTGTGCTCAAAGTTTCTCCGCGTGATTAACTTCGTAGAGGATATCTGCAGTAGAATCAGAGTAACGATATAGCCCAACTGGTCAGTAAGCTGAAGTAGCAATGGGCCGGCCATATAGCTCGAACAACCGACAACCGATGGAAAAGAAAGGTTCTTAAGTGACATCCTTACACTGGTAGTATTTTTTTTATTAATGTTTTTCTTCCTGCTGTTTTTTATTTTACAGCATCCTTTATTTCTCATAAATTTTGATCTTTTGTTCATTCCTCTAGTTTTTTTTAAGTTTTTTTTACAATAGTTACGTATCTTCAGTATTCCGTGTTACCTATGCTTATATATTAAGTACATTGATATTTTTACTCTTAATCTACTTATGTCTACATGACTATTTATAATTTTAATTGTTGCAATACTAAATCTATTTATCTAATTATCATTTTTTTTAATTACTTTTATGTCATTAGTAACTGGTAGATAACACTGGTAGTATTAGTGGGGCCAGACCTCTCATGACGGAACGATATTTGATTATACTCCGTCCAAACATTTATTTTACTTTTGACATAAACACGCCTGTGAAGTCATGGACACTATTTTTTATTTACAACAAGTGAAGCGACGTGCTCTTTAGCTCCTATATTTATAGATATCGATATTTATTTAGCCCGCAGATTATGTATTGAAGTTTATTCAAGTCGACTATTCCATTAAATTATTTTTAATATCTCTATCTCGTACGCCCAATAAATAATAATAAATAATATATACATTAATTATAAACCTTTTCAACTAACTGATAAAATCCAATTTACCTTGCCAGGAAACTGAAGAGGAGACACGTAGTACTTCGACTTAGTGGTCCGCTTCGGATACGATTTCTTCACCACCTTGCCCCAAATGGTGCGGGTCGCGTTGACCCGCCCCGGTGCCGTTGCGAAGCGCAGCAACCGAGGAATATTGATGAACATATCATCATCTGTCTTCAGCAGTCTCGGCGCACGGGGACAGTACGTGTCCGCCCACTCCAGCATCGAAAGTGTCTTCAGCGTGAGATTCGAGTACGAGTCGATCGATCTACCCACGATCAGGTCACCGTACAAAGCGTCCTCCGCGTCAATCGCTGAGCGTAATGAAGCTGGGGGGGAGCCTAGTACAAACGCGAGTGCAACATCGCTCCTCGACGCGTAATGGCCCCAGGTCAATCGCACAGCATCGCGAGCACTAGCGTGGGACGGCGCTGATGTAATCAACACGAGGAGTTGGAGACGCGCACCTAACGCCGGGCATAACTCCGGGTGGGGTCGCTCGTGGCCCGCTACGTACACGTCACGGGTGAGGATGATACGCGGGTCGCGCGGCGTCGGTGACGGCGGATGTGTTGGCGGGTGCGTGGGTGGAGGAGGTAGGGTTGTGTTGGTGCGTCGGGCGGGCGGGGGCAGGGGCGAGGGCGGGGTGGTCCGTGGCGGCAGTGGGCGGGGCCGGCGCGGGGGCGGGGCGGGCGCGCGGCTCGCCAGCAGCAGCAGCAGCAGCGCCCCCAGCGCTGCGAGCGCGGCCGCGTGCGAGCGACGCAGCGCTCCCGCCGCGCCGAGCACGCCCATGCCGCGATCAGCCCACACTCTGCGAACAAAAAATGTAAATACTTTGACAAACGTACGAGATAGAGATACTGCACTTAGTACCTATTACCACCTTACGTAGTACGTACTTTCAATAAACATACGCGGTTTACAGCTCGCTCTAGCGATGTTATCGATGATTTTAACTAAAATATTTAACTTTCTAAAATATTTAAAAAAAAAAGTGTGCCCTATAACCAAGTCTTTGCATTTGAACAACATAATTAAGACTTTCTAAAAAAACTAAAATGACATGAAGTATAATTAATAGTAAAACTGATAAGGTCTCGCAATTCTAACTACCAATTAAATTTTAACAACAAATTAACTAAATCAGATCAGGACATTTCGATCTTAACCATATAAGTCACTGAATTTCTCTCCTACCTTTGCCGATTCATTATTAAAGCAAAATCTAAATACGTGTCAATTTTTATTTCATTAAGTATAATCAAAATATATTGTAAACATTTTAAAAATATCGATTATAAGAAAAGCGAAGAACTGTGAAAGATTTCCCCTAAAGTTAATGCGTCTATAATAGATATAATCACATCTTATGTATCTACTTTTTAATACTAGTATAGTACAGTAATACCTTTATTTAAATCTGGTAGTACATTTGGCCACACCAATCTTAAACCTATTTCCTTACTGCCAATTCTTAGTAAAAATTTTGAAAAACATATAATAATATAATAATAATAAATAATAAATAAATTTTATTTCGTTTTAAGAAGTACATGCCTTAAGAACTGTGGATCGGAACCTCCATTTAAGCAAAAAAAAAAATGCCTGTGTTTGGAGAGTCCGCCCTTCCATTACTACATTCATGTTACATGGCAGTATTGGTAAACATATTCTATATCATATATTAAAATTATCTATATATTACTTATATTCTAAAATTAGGACAATCAAACGATTGGAACTAGTCTACTTATAAATACTGTATGATATGTGAGTGAAAGTTTATTTATTTATGTATACGTATGTGTGTGTGTGTGTGTGTGTGTGTGTGTGTGTGTGTGTGTGTGTGAGTGTGTGTGTGTGCGCGCGCGTGTGTGTGTGTGTGTGTGTGTGTGTGTGTATGTGTGTGTGTGTGTGTGTGTGTGTGTGTGTGTGTGTTTGTGTGTGCGTGTGTGTGTGTGTGTGTGTGTGTGTGTGTGTGTGTTTGTGTCTGTGCTTGCATGAGTTGGAATGAGTGTGTGTGATTAGAGTGTCTGAGTCTGTACAAATCACATAACACAATCCAGAAGCTTCTCAGTTTCGTCATATGTCTTAAGTTGAATCCATTTCAACAAAAGTTTTTTTACAGTTATGATATGTTTTGTCGTACATATATATTTCTTTGTTTATTTTATTAAAAAAAAGGCAGAACGCGATATGTATTGTCTGCTTGCAAATGTGGTTTTAGCTCTGTACGTCTGGGCAACCATGTTTCTACGACGTTTATTTAAATGGCGTGGATCATAAAATAATGATTTGTGTGTTCTGAGGATTGTCCAGAATATATACAACTTCCTGACAGTGAGTAAACCACTGGTACGATATAGAAGATCAGTAGGAAAACGCCTCTTCTTAAAGTACATAACTTTAATAAGAGAACGCTGCGCCCTCTCTAACTCCAGAAATTGAGTTTTTGCTGCACCACCCCAGACAGGAATACAATAGGCCATGACGGATTGAGCAAGAGCAATGTAAATTTGGTTGAGGAGATAATTTGGTGACTCCCCATCTGATTTGCCCAGCATTACATGTCTAAGGGTTTTGAAGATCCATGTTAGTTTCCTCGTTCTGTTGATGACATGATCAAGGTGTGGGTACCAGGATAGTCTTTGATCTACAATTACCCCTAGATATTTTATCTGAGCTACCTTATCGATTCTAGGGCAGTTACAGGTGTTTTTATTAGTGTCCATTGTACATTCATGAATTTTTAGGCTGAAGTCGGCCTGAGGTTGCGAGTTGTTGTTAATACTAAAACAGATAAAGTTTGTTTTAACAGTATTTAGCGTGTTTCAACCACAGTGCGATTCGCAACAGGCCTGCCTCAGCACTAGTTTTGACTTCCTCCCAAGAATCACCGGCAAAGACTACGGCCGTATCATCAGCATATGACAGAACTCTGGCGTTATGGATCTTTATATTACATAGGTCGTTGATATAGATGAGAAAGAGCGTAGGTCCTAAAAGGCTGCCCTGCGGTACGCCACACGTCACATTAACAACTTCACTAGTGCAGCCAGGTAGTCTTACTCTTTGTCTCCTGTCCATACTTTAATCATATACTTTAATCAATTTAGTTTTACTAAGAGTAATCGTCAGTTAGACAACTGATGCTGGTGTTGATCTGATTGAACAATACTCGTATCTTCAAAGCATGGGAGAATTCACAGGATGCTTTGGGTATATTCTGTGACCTATCCAAAGCATTCGATTGTGTTTAACATGATACACTAATCGGGAAACTACAACAATATGGTGTAAGAAGTGATATTCATAAATTAGTTACCAGAATGTAAAAAGTTGTTATTAATGTTATGAGTTCTTCTGGGTCGATAGTACAAATGGGCGTGCCTCAGGGCTCAATTCTCGGCGCCTTTCTGTTCCTTGTTTATATTAATGACTTACCATACATAATAGGGGATTACCATGATAGTATTATTTGCTGATGACATTTAATGAATTTTCAAATTAAAACGACAGTTACTAAATTACGACGAAGTAAATAATAATATATCTAAATTAGTAAATTGATTTAACGTTAATAACTTGCATTTAAATGGAACTAAAACTAAATGTATGAAATTCAAAGAAACTCAAAATGAGAATCAACAAAATACTAATCTAATTTTAAAAGAGGAGGAGTTGATACCACCGTTTATCTTGAAATTACGTTAGACCCAAAGCTTCAATGCCCTATATAACAAAATAAGCAAGCAGACTTAAACAGAAACAGAAACTTTTTATTCAATAAAGATTGTAAATAATACTTATTGAAAGTCACTCTTTTGTTTAATTACCACTGAAAGAACCTCAGTCTTGGGAAAACCAGCAAAAAAAAACCCAACAGGCAAATAACAGCTTACAATCATGTTTGTTACACAATTAATCAGCACAAAACAAATTAGAAGTAACTTGGTAGTGTTCACCACATTCCCAAGGGTTTTTATCACCCACAAATTCCTTAATATTACAATAACCCTTTTTATACAAACTTAGTTTAATAAAGTTTTAGAACTTTGAGCAAGTCAAATTTTGGTGTATTTTCTGGGATTTTGTTGTAAATGTGTATACATCGCCCCAAGAATGAATTACTTAGTTATGCAACATATTCTGTAACTGCTCGTATTTGTGTTATATCCATTAAACGACAAAGGAATAAATTACTGTATATTTACTTAAGATTTGTCAGCTGTTGGTTTTCCAAAGCACAAAAAAAATAAGTAACTTTAATAACTGTAAACTGCTCTTTTTTATCATAAAAAAACCAGTCCCGCTGGATTTCTTACTGGTATTTCCGAGGACAGAGGCATTTTTCGAACCAGTGGTAAATTGAATATAAGAGTGACTTTCAATAAGTATTACTTATAATCTGTATTGAATAAAAAAGCTTCTATTTGTATTTCTGCAACTAGTACCTAGTACTAGCTGATGTTGTTTTATGACCAAAAAGTGGTACACCGTACCTGGTGGCAGTATATTGAGAAATTTTACACTTGTAGCTTACTGGGTATACTGTAGCTTATTGTTTACAGAGTGTATATCATATAATACAATACTCTTTATTGTATGGTGTACGTAGGAGATTTATATTACAAAATATAAACAAATATTGAGGGAAAAGCAAAACCCTACCTCTTTTAACTGGTTTCTTGAACTCAGGACTAAGGGGTAAGGAGTTCCAAAGTCTTACTTCAAAAACAGAGGAAGGTCATTACACAGAATGTGTGTATATAATATACGTTGTAAGTATAATATATAACCTTACCTCTGTCGATAGTAGAGCCGAATTGCGGCTATATTATGGTTGTGGTACACGAAAAGTCCCGCTGGGTTTCTTGCCGGTTTTTCCCAGGACAAGGATATTTTTCGAACCAGTGATAAAATGAAAACGGTATTAAACATAAGAGTGACTTTAAATAACTATTTTTACTAATGTATATTGAACGAAAAAGTTTCTATTTCTATAAGCAAATATCGGAATCCGAAACATAACAAAAGATATAACAAAAGAACTATAGTTGTACATCCGACAGCCGTGGAACGAGACCAGCAAGGATTGTATCTGCGAGGCTCTTACACTCCGCGACCTTATCCACTTGTGAGACCTCCGAGTACAAACCTTCGCGGCAAACTAAGTCTATTCTCTTGATATTGGATATTATCGACATATATACATTCCAGATGCGCGTGTATATTTTTAGTAGAAACTCTATTTGTATATAAGCTAAATTAATTAATAATTAATTTCGTAAATATACCAGAAACAAGTACAAGATAGTTTGATTGTTGTTATATTAATACGTTTTTATAAAAGTCCCAGAAAATATGCAGACCTTATCTATCAAAAAGTTTAATATATTTATTAACAAAAATTGTTTAATAAGGATTAATAAAGAGCACATGGTTGATAATAACCACTGGAAATGAAGTGGTCGCTACAATGCTGTTTCTAAATGTTTTCATATTTCATTGTATAAAATATGTTGTATTTTTTAAAATATCTCACTGAGTTTATTTTCCGTGTAGTGGCGGTGTAAGAATATCTTACTTAAAACTAAACTAAAACTTAAATTTAGCGAACTTACTTGAACTTAAATTATACCTTGATAGAACATTGATCCATAACTGAACATAAGGAAAAAGTAAGTTAAAAACAAACGCGTTTAAAGTCTGTAATTTTTTTTAATTAATAGAAACATGCGTTACTTTGCGGATATCAAACATATCACATACTAGCGACATGCCAAGCGTTG